GTCCTCGCCCTCTGCCTGTGGGAAAGCGCTGCTCGCTGGCGTGTGGACTCGCTGGGACACAGCCTGAGGCACAATCTATTAGGCTTTCTGCTTCTTATATTTCATAGCAGAACCTGCTTAGCTCCGTCAGCCAACAATTCATGCTGTAAACTAGAACCGCCACAGGCTCTGGATCAAACCTCTGAAAGTGGTGTTGGACGCGTGTCTATGGAAGATGGTATCAGAGTATTTCAACAACTCGTTCAGTGGATAAACTTAAAGATTTTGCCTTCACAGAACAATTAAGCTGTATCCTGGCAAGAAGAATTGCCATTTCAGAAATAAAAGGAATTCACTATAAAACTTCCTATATGTTCTAAATGGGCTGAAGCTTAGCGTTGAGGAAAACGGTTCAGTTGACATTGAAAGTTTTTCCTATTCATTTATTCAATAAATATTTCTTTGAATGCCTGTGAGTGGAAGGCACCGCTGCCTCTCAGTAGTAAACAGAAATAACATTTCACGCCTCTTCCTAGGGGCTTCATTCTGCTGATAACTGTTAGTCAATGAAAATGGGACGTTTATTGTTAATAGAATTCTGCAGCCTTGTGCTTCTCTCCGGCTCGTCATTTTCTAAGGAACGGCCCCTTTAAGCCCGTGCTGTGTGGTGTGAGAGCCGAGAGCCGAGAGCCCCTGAAATGGGGCCGGTCCCCACAGAGGTGCCGCGTCAACACGCACCGCTTCTCAAAGACACGGTACAAAATAGAACACAGGATACCGCACTCATGCATTGCCGCTGGTTGTGTGTTCAGATTCAAGGACTTGGATATGTGGGAATAGATAAACTTAATACAATTAACTTCTCTTTTTCCTTTTAAAATTTTTAAATTACGTTTGTGTCTCCTGCTTGTGAATTGCATTATGTTTCTATTGGCGCCCTCTAAGGATCACACTTATTTTTTTAAATAAAATTAAGGTTTAATTTCATTGGGTCCCAGTTGTTATTAGAAATGTCACTAGACGTCTCGGGGAAAAGAACCGAGCGGCCCACTCCGCAGCTCCGGCGCCGAGACCGCAGACTGGGGCCCAGTGGCCTCGGAGGATGCCGCCTCTGAAAACGCCTGACCTCCTCCTTCTTTTTCTTTTCATGTCGCCCTGTCCGAACCGCGGTGATTTCTCACAAAACAGCACGGTAAGAAAATCGTTCCTCCTTCACTTCAGCCTGTCGCAGATCCCGCATCAACAGAGTTAGGGACAGCAGACCCCTTTGCTGGAGGTAGTGTGACCAGCACCAGGGCGGGGGGAGTGGCTGAGGGCACCCCGGCGTCCCTGCGGGCCTCTGGTCCCTCCTAGAGTCCCGCCTCTGCAGGACCCAGGGGCAGGACCTCCTGGTAGCAGTGGGCACAGAGCCTGGCTGCTGACGGCACAGACTCCACCCAGTCAGTAACCAGATCATGGCACTTCATTCGTGTGGATGTTCTTTAACCCAAGTTACGAATTTATAATGAAATAGAAGTATTTTCCCATTTAATCCAAAATATGTTAATTTTTTCCTTTCAAATATTTATCATGAAATTCCTTCTTTTTCTAGACATTTATGGTGACTATCTGCTAGAGCATAGACTAACGTACTTTAAAAAGGGACGCGAGCACGAGAGCCTTGCCCTAGTTAGAAAGCGCGTATTAAACTTGCTGAGGTAGGTACCTTAGTCAGCTAGTGTGGAAGTTATTTTTACCTTCTAGGGACTTTATAAGAGATGTATTTAAGTACCGGCCATGCTCACGGCCACAGTGCACGCCCTGCCTCACAGAACCTGTCACGTGCAGCCCTCACTCATCACTCCACAGCTGAGTTGGCTGTCCCTGCTGTTAAGCATGGGCCGCTGAACATTGGTGTCCTGGGACGGCCCATGGTTGGAAAATGAAAAGCTGTTGGTCCATTTTAAAAATAGAAGTTGTTGCTATTATTTTACAAGTATTTTCCAATCTTTTTAAAAATATATATTTTTATTTCAGAGAGAAAGGGAGAGGGAGAGATTGAAACATCAGTGATGACAGAGAATTATCAATCAGCTGCCTCCTACGGGCCCCCTACCGGGGATGGAGCCTGCGACCCAGGCATGTGCCCTTGACCGGAATCAAACCCGGGACCCTTCAGTCCGCAGGCCGACGCTCTATCCACTAAGCCACACCAGCCAGGGCTATTTTCCAATCTTAATATCTGGGACTCTGGAGTGTACATTTCCAGGTTCTCAGATCTTAAAATAGCTCACATGAGCCCAAAGAAATTTCCCGTATTAAAGTTCCTTTCTTCAGAGAAAGTATCCAGTTTAGGGTCTGCATATTAAAAGATGTCAATGAAAATTTGAAAAAGAAGTTTTGATAGATTTAAGCATTAAATTATGGAGAATAGTTATCACAGGTTTTAAGTTATGGCAAGACTGAATTGTGTGAGAAGTTCATCTCACTGTAAAGTTCTCTGAATGGGACAATCAGGTTACTTGGTTGACCTCTGAAAGCTGGTCAGGACTTGGTAAACTGCCAGTCCTTTCTGGCTTTGAACTCACCTTGTAAGAACTGCTGACTCATAGGCAAACTCTTCGCCGGTTGACCAGTGCGCCCAGGACAAAGCTCGGGGATTTGTTTCCCAAGGCTCACACTGACGAAGTAAGAAGCCCAGCTGTTCACAGCTCCGCCTTCATTTTTCCTCTCCCTTCCTTCCCTTCTCTGTCTTCCCACAGCACTTCTGGGGCCCGGTAGCCAACTGGGGTCTCCCCATCGCCGCCATCAATGACATGAAAAAGTCTCCGGAGATTATCAGTGGGCGGATGATGTTTGGTGAGTGTGTGCTCTGAACACCTTCGGCCTTTCCCCGCATCATTAGCATAAACAGCTCCCCAGCGCAGCTCTGGACAGGACAGTCACTTAGGAAATGGCATCACCCCTCACCGGGAGGAAAGGCAGGTGGCTCTGAAATGCTGCCTTGGGAGCGCTGGAGCCCGCTAGCTGGCGGGCTGACTGCTCCCAGCTGAAGAAGGTGTCCTCTGGGGCGTAGTTGGAAAACGCTTTCTTACGTTGACTTGAAACCCTGATATTTGACCATAAAGCTGTTGAGAGGATGACAAAGCAGTTCCTGCAGGTGAGGGACTGTGAACAACTCGAGGGGACAGGACCGTGGCTGGAACTCAGATGCCCACTCCCTCCCTCCGACACCCCATCCTTAAAATGTTCAGGTGATAAGTAACAGCACCCACCAGGAGAGTCCGATATCTGATGAGCTTCCCATTCCTGGTGCCTTTCCGCCAGAATTTACCTCCTGTCACAGTCTTAGCGGAAGGGCTTCTCTTGTGGTTCAGGCTGGTGCCCGGTGGGTCTGGGGTCCCTCCCACACCAGGTCTCTGAACCGTGAGCCATTGCTCCCCTCTGCTTGGTGTTTGCAGCCCTCTGCTGTTACTCTCTGACGTTCATGAGATTCGCCTACAAGGTGCAGCCTCGCAACTGGCTCCTGTTCGTGTGCCACGCCACCAACGAGGTGGCCCAGCTCATCCAGGGCGGGCGGCTCATCAAATACAAGTAAGCAGCGCCGGCTCATCCTCTTGGCTGACGGAGGGGAGAGCGGGCCCGGTCCTGTCTTGGGCATTTGGGCCATGAGTGTGTGCAGATGGATGTGAAACCCGTTTCTGAGAAAGCTGTGCTGTTGAGTGTGAAACAGTGCCTGGCAGTTAACGCCACGCCGTGCAGATGCACTGACTACAGTGTGGACAGGGTGTGTCTTCATAACATCGGGAGTGGGAACGGCTGTTGGGTGGGTGAGGTCTTCTTAAAGCCTCCGGGCCCTGAGGCGCAGTGACACCCCCTGTGTCCTTGTCTCCCTGCAGCATGAATAAGAAGGCAGCAGCGTGACCGGCAGGGAGGCGCTGCCCGCTGCTGGGCCTCCGGCTCAGTCACCAGGACGCCCTGCTGAGGAAGACCCGCTGAGTGCCGTTTTACTAACCCCACCATTCCCACCCACAGCGAGAGCCCGAGCCCCTGACCCGCCCCGGCTGCCTCCCAAGTGCTGACTACTCTCCTCCTCCCCTAACCAGTCGTCACACGGGCAGTCATCCGTGATTCCCAGCCATGCTTTCTCTGAGGCCGTGTTGTTATCTGTTAGAGTTTACTGAGCGCGCAACGGAAGAGAACCAAGCCTGTGACTCTCAGACCTGAGTGCTCAGAACGCTTGCCTTGTTCTGTAACGACCATGAGACAACCCCAGCTACACCCTTCAGGTCTCACCCCAGGGTCTGAAAAGTGTCCGTTTCCATGCAGTGTGTATTCTGAAATGCTGTGACTTAACAGCAATAAATGACTTAAATATTTGTCAGTGAGAATGAAATGCCTCGCCATGTCTTTAAGGAACTGCAGGACTGTGTCCCTGCAGCACAAGCGTCGGTATAACGGGGACTCCCTCCCCAGTGCCAGAGGAGGAGCCGTCCTCCAAGTGGTCAGACAGCTCTTTCTCATGGGCCACGTTAGAAACGCCCCAATGCTGCCCTGAAGATGCCCTGGAGGTGCGCTGGCCTCCTGTCCCCTGAGGTTCCCTGAGGGGGTCAGAGCTGTGCAGTGTCCCAGGGGGCTGCAGTCCCTGGCCACACAGGAGAGGGGGCACTGTGCGAGGCACCAGGGAGAGGAGGGGCCTCTGGGGTGGGCGGGCCCGGGGACTTGGTGGCGATCCCACTGCTGCAGGGTGAGCGCCACCGTGAGACAGCGTGGAGGGTGCGCGTGGCCAGTGGTTCCTCACTTCATCCGCATCCGCTGGCCTGCGAAGCACTCTCCCAGAGCAGGCCCGCCACCTTTTCTCTTTTCGATGGAAGTCTCTTGGCTGCTTTAAAATGACCGTCTCCGCTGTCTGTCACTAGCACAAGGGGACACCTGGGCGGTCGGCAGGGAAGTGCTGGCCGCTGGCACAGAAGACTGACCGAGCAGCGGACCTCTCTCAGTGGCCGGGCAGCGGGAGGTCCTGGGTGGCTCCTCCTGCTCTGTCTTCGGGGTTTGTCGGGCTCCATCTCCTAGACACGTGGGGAGTGTCCCGGCGCCACACCTGTAAGTGTCTGGTCCCTACGAGAGCTGCGTGCACTTGAGGCTCCCTTCTCCGAGGGCTGGGGGGATGGAGAACAGGGCGCCGTCCATCCCCCAGATCCTGGGAACTGCAGTGTGGAAGCGAGGGTGGGGTCGGCGCCACCTGGACTGCTCACAACCCAGAAGGCCAGGTTCAGAACTAAACTACCCAGAGAACCTCCTCTCCAAACGTGATACCCAAACGTTCACCATGTTCTCCCTTTCAAACAAGTTCGGAGAGAGCTGGAAGGCACAGGAGCCATCCAGGCGGAGTGGACACCGGATGTCCGCGCGGAGGTGCCGTGCTGGCTCCCGCGCTGTAATGGGCTCAGGGATGAGGTGACGATTGCGAAGCACTTCCTGCCCCGCCAGGGCCGGCTGAGTCCTGGCACCGAGCAGCCCGCTGCCCGCGGTGCGCGGCCCGGCAGGAAGCTGGTCAAGGGCCTCTTGTTTCGCAATGCCCTTCGCACGGTTGGTTTAGGGCTGTCCCTCCCTCCTGGCCTTCCGCCCACTGCCCGCGCAGGAACCGGCTCGGCTGCTCTGCTGCTCGCTCCCCAGGCTGCGTTCAGTCGCTCTGTCTTCTCCACCTTTTCACTAAGATTTCTCAGACTCGTGTGCACCGAGCGGTGACAGACAGTAGTGAGAAAGGAAGCAGCAGGCGCAGTTCCATCTGCGGTCCTGACACCCCACGTGCCAGCAGGCGGCTTCCTCGCAGCATGTCCTGTTCAAGGTCTAGAAGAGAAGCAAACACCAAGGCCGCGTCGTCAAAAGCAAAGCCCGGGGACCCGGGACTGAGGCTGGGCAGGTTGGTGGCCTCGGGGAGGGGAGGACACCAGTTGCCATTGGAACGGTTTTGAATTTTTTCTGGCTTTTTCTCTTGGGCATGATAATGGACTCATGACTTTTTATAGACTTAACGTGTTGTTTTAAATTCTCACCCGAAGATACGTTTTATTGATTTTAGAGAGAGAGGGAGAGAGAAAGCGAGGAACATCGACATGAGAGAGAAACATCGATAGGTTGTCTCCAGTATATGCCCTGCTCAGGGATCGAATCCACAACCCAGGTATGTGCCCTGACCAGGAATCACACCCGCATCCTGTTGGTGTACAGGATGACACTCCAACCAAGTGAGCCACCCAGCCAGGGCAAGATGATGCGTTTTTGTCAGCTACGATGGTTATTCTTTTGGCTCCCATGTCATTCCTTCAGCGGCTGGGCGGGAGGAGGTCCTGGGCCGCTCCTCCTGCTCTGTCCTCTGCGGTGTGCTGGGCTCAGTCTCCTAGAGACGTGGGTATCTTTGAGAGTTCCTCTTGTCCCCACACCAGCTGGAGGCCTCCTGCCCACTGCCTGCCTGACCCCAACACGAAGCCGTTCCCTGGGGCTCTGGCCAGGTCTGAGGAATGGTCCTTGCACCACCACGCGGGCTCGTGGTGCCAGAGCGGCGTTGCTTCCTGCCCGTTCAGTGTCTGAAGCGCGCAAGTTCCTATAATGGTTCCAAGTGCACAGAAGGTAACCGTAGACTCTGTTACGTAAGCACTTTCCGAGTGAAGCTGGCTGCCATTGTCAGGAAGTCCCGAGAAGGGGCGGCTGCCGGCAGTGCTCTTAGCACAGATCCCCGAGGTCTGCCTCCCGGACAGCCAGAGCGACGGGGCCACCTGAGCAGCTCCGTCTCCGAGTTCCAGTCCTCGTCACTCTGTCTGCGCTGAGGACTTCTGGCCAAACGCTCACTTCCGCCGTTTACTGTCTAATTTCTGGTACAGTTACCACCTACAGAGTTTAAATGTTCAATCTTGTCCTGATGGGAAAGTTTTGTCATGTGCCCCTTTTTAAGCTACAACTTTTCTCTTTAAATAAAAATGATATCACCAAAACCGGTTTGGCTCAGTGGATAGAGCGTCGTCCTGCGGACTGAAAGGGACCAAGTTCGATTCCGGTCAAGGGCATGTACCTTGGTTGCGGGCACATCCCCAGTGGGAGATGTGCAGGAGGCAGCTGATCGATGTTTCTCTCTCATTGATGTTTCTAACTCTCTATCTCTCTCCCTTCCTCTCTGTAAAAAATCAATAAAATATATTTTTAAAAAAAAATGATATCCACATTTTCTTCCTGCCATACTATGTATTCTCATACCAAGGCTAACATCTTCTAAATCCAACTACTTCTCTCAGGTACCGTTCTCCTAACCTGAGGAGTCAGTGTTTACTCTTCCTTGAGGGGGTGAGTTTTAAGGAGGTAGACGGGTGGCACAGTGCTCGGAGGCGGCCCATGTCAATGCAGGCTCCTCAGGGTTTTGTCTGCAGTCGCTTCACTCAGAAGTTTCTGTTTGCAATCAAGGACTCTCGCCAGCCTCGGACAAGGAACGGACTTGGTCTCATGCCCACACTCCCGATGAGAAGGCAGCGGCGGCACGCGCACCTGGCAGAGTTTTTACCAATATCACAGGACCGTGACTTCTAAGGGGAGGCCCCGGCCGGGTGCCTCGGTGCCCGCGCTCTGCAAGCTGTCAGGGGAAATGTACTGGAGAGGAGATGTAAGCCGATGCCTCCTTGGAGCTGCAGGGCCCTGTCTCACGTGGATGACACAGCCCCTGCTGGCAGGACCGGGCTGCATTCCACTGCAGGCTACTCGACTGCAGGCGGGTCTGGGAGCAGGTAGAGCAACAACCGCTGCCGTGCAGGGAGGGAAGGCTCCTGTCAGTTTCCGCAAACATGGCATTGTTTTGAGTTTGCAATAAAATCCACACCCCGATGAAATCGATGCCATCATGTCTTCAGGGGTAGCGGCCCTTCCAGTGCGAGCTGAGGTCTCCCAGGGACAGTCCCCGGGGCTGCGGGAAGAGACTGCACCCTGGGCCTCCAGGAGCAGGTAGACTCCGGGGCAAAGAGGAGCCCGCACACCCTGCCCCTCCTCCCGCAGCCCACGGCTCCTCACTGGCCCTTCCCCAGGTTTGAAATGATTTTGTGGCAAAATTGCGCCACCTTGTGGCCTCATTGGATTCAAAAGCTGAAATGAGTAATGTTGCCCTCAGTCCCTGTTGACCTAGTATCTGTAAGGACTATAAACACGCTCTTCAGTCCAGCGGGTGTGCGCAGGGGCTGAGCATTGACCTACAAACCAGGGCACACGCTGGGGTTGCAGGCTCCACCCCCAGTGTGGGGCGTGCAGGAGGCAGCCGGTCAGTGATTCTCTGTCACCATTGATGCTTCTATCTCTCTCTCCCTTCCTCTCTGAAATCAATAAAAATATATTTAAATAAAAACACTCTTCAAAACAGAGTCTCCTTAGTAGAACACCCCGTCTCTACTGCCACACACATGAGAAGCTAAGACAAAAAGCTCACGGCTCTCCCAGATTTCTTGTTGGGGCAGGGCAGACTGAGAAAAGTGCCCTAGACTATAAAACCGTTATTATTATTATTTTTTGTCTAATCAACCCCTCTACAGACATGATTAACAAATGACCCCGATGCAAAAAACAAACAAAAAACACAAAAACAAACCCACACCTACCCTTAACCGACTTGTGCCTCCGTAAATATTGCTGAGTGGGAAACGCAGGTGAGCAGACTTTTCACGTCAGGACGACTGCCTGCAGTTGGTCCTCCCGCCCCCACCCAGGCCGGTCCAGAGGAGCAAGTCTGGTCACGAGGGTTTTGTTCATCTGGGTGTCATTGGCTCAGCTCCTCACCAGCTGTGAGACTGCAAGGACGTCACTGAGTGTCCCTGGGCCCTTGTGGTGTTTTTTTTGTTTGTTTGGTTTTTGGTTTTTTAAGATAATTTCCGGTGAGCTTCTGGAGTTACAGCCCTTTGCTCATTCACTCATGGGGAAATGTTTCCAGAGCATCTACTGCAGGGGTCCTCAAACTTTTTAAACAGGTGGCCAGTTCACTGTCCCTCAGACCGTTGGAGGGCTGGACTATAGTTTAAAAAAAAAACTATGAACAAATTCCTATGCACACTGCACATATCTTATTTTGAAGTAAAAAAACAAAACGGGAACTAATACAATATTTGTATTTGCATGTGGCCCGCGGGCCGTAGTTTGAGGACCCCTGAGCTACTGCATCATGTGGCGCTAGACTCTGGGAACCCAGGAAGAGAGGAAAAGCAGGGAAGACGCAGGACCTGAATTCATGCGGCCTGTCCTGGGGGACGCCCCTCCTCTTTGCTGGGAGAAGGGGACGGTGTTGAGACAGGAAGACCACATCCCCCGTTACCAAGCAACAGTCACACGTCCACGCTGAAATCAGGAAACCCACGGGAAGGGCTGA